CTTAGCGCAGGAGCCTGAGTCAAGGCGTAGAAATGGCCCTCTGGTGCCAGACTCAGTCTAGTCAGCGAGGGAACGCTGATGACGGGCTGCACGTACCAGCTGGGGCCCGAATTTGGCTGTGGGCTCTTCCGGCTAGCAGAGAAAGATTCAAGAACCAGTGGCTGGAAATCGACACTCGACACATTTGGACTGACGGTAAATCTAGCGCAGGAGCCTGAGTCAAGGCGTAGAAATGGCCCTCTGGTGCCAGACTCAGTCTAGTCAGCGAGGGAACGCTGATGACGGGCTGCACGTACCAGCTGGGGCCCGAATTTGGCTGTGGGCTCTTCCGGCTAGCAGAGAAAGATTCAAGAACCAGTGGCTGGAAATCGACACTCGACACATTTGGACTGACGGTAAATCATTGTTTACCAGCCGGGTTAGTGCTCAAAGAGCTGTGGGGTAAGTGAGAGCAGCTTGTTGGGGGGCCAAGGTGCCTGACAGTGACCACATGGCAGGCCAGAGGGAAGCCCCAATATATAAATTAACTGCATGAGACCCCTTGGCTGAGTCGGGTCAGGACACTGGAGCAAGTGCACAGAGGGTTAATAAAGACATTAACGTAACCAGTCCGCATGCACAGGTGCTAGCTACCCTGCTCCTAATTTCATGCCACTTCTAATTTCAAACCTTAATGGAGCAGAGAACTGAAGCCTGAAATATTGTCGGGTCCCATCTGGCCACGAAGGTGACTGGCACCAGGCCAGATATGTTGTGCCTCAACCAGGCACGACATGGGGGGCCAGATCGTCCAAAGGGCTAACATTGATATCACTGCAGGGTACGGTGCACCAGCAGTGTTACTCCAAAATTACATTGTGCATGTCTACACAGCAAGTCGTCAGGTCGCAACACAGGCAAGCTGGGGGACCTTTTACTCTGATTCCTGTAGGCCTCCTTGCACGAGGAGCTAGGGAAGGCGTGTGTGTGTGTGTGTGTGTGTGTGTGCGCGTGCGTGCGCGCGTTCCCTTTGACTTTCTGCTGTGCAGGCAGTGCCAAAATCTGAATTAAGCTATTTCGACTTCAGCTATGTACTTGACAGAGCTCAAGTTGTGCATCTTAACTCATCTTTAGCCCTGCTGAGGACCCTGGAAGACA